GTTCCATATTCATCAAAAAGTTCACCATGCGCCCAGATACCCCGAGTGTTATCTGCGAAATTATTACCATGGAGCTATCAGCGTCCTCCCCTTATCTCTCCCACTCGTCTACTTTCTTGCCACCCTCATTTTTGTTTTCAAGATGAGAAAGTTTCCCCACAATTTTCGGGAAACTTTGAGCATTTTAGGGGCCACCCTGATAGTCACTTTCTGCTGTGTGATGTTCCTCAGTGGCTACAGCGTCTCTCCTCCCGAAACACGGGCTCTGCTTCGATCTGTTATCGTCTATATAACTTACCTTGCATTCCTTCTGTGCCTGTTCCTGCCCAAAGTGATCATTCTGGTACAAAAAGATGTCGATACAGAAGAAGAGAAACGAATTATCAAAGAGTCACTTCAAGTTTTTGCAAGCAGGGCAAGTGGAATGGGAAAAAGATTGTCAGCGATAAGCGTTGCTACACCCATCAATTCGCCTAAAAGATCACCAAGGAATTCGCCATCAAATTCGCTGATACCCTCACCAGCACTTGGTGGTAAAAGATCCCACGTATCAGTATCTCCAACTGCAAGTCCTAGTAGTATACGAAAAGGCGAGGCTTCCCAGGCTATGGCCCAGGCAGGAGGTCGCACTCGTCCACGACAAGTTGCTATTCCCAAAAACACAATAAACTCTCCTCCAAAAAAAGCTATTGCTATGCAAAATATAATCGTGGAAGAATGAAGGAAGCGACTGACCAACGCAAAGTTAAAACTAACTGTGGTCGAAGATGAAGGAAACACGAATTAGTTTGTATTGAATAGGGAATTTTTTCTTATCTTGGTCAATGTGTGAATCATCTTAAAATTTTTCAATCTTAATATATACTTTTTCAGTGGTCTTACTTTACTAACAAATATAGTTAATACTCATACCTTTTGACTTGAACTTGTAAAAAATTTGATGTTAAAACTTAAACTGAAGTTTGCTTTAGTGAATGTATTTAATATTTTTAAGGTAACTCGTTTCTGAGATGAGAGATCACTGACCATCATGACAGGGTAGTTGTTACAACCTCGTCGATCATTTCAATTCTATACTATAAAATGGCGGGAATGTTACGTTGTGCGCGCGGTGTTTATAAACAATTTATGGTTCGGCGGAGCGCGTTCCAGAAAGCCAGAAGAAGTTTCCTTGAAATAAAATGTGTATGCGATTTTGTACAGTAGATGAATCCATAAATTTGGAACATGGGTACATCGCAGTATTGGCCGTATTTTAGTGCTCGGAAGGCTCAGTTCGGTTTTCTAAGATGGATATAGCCGTAAGTTTTGCCTAGGAGCCATCAAAAGTCGCATAAAATTACCCATGGAATGACCAGAAATGAACGAAAATGAACATTCTTCTCAAAGTGCTCCGAATGGTTTAAAATGGGTCGGAAAGTGTTAACATTGGTCCTAAGACCACTCAAACCTAGTTTGGGAATCACTGCATGTCTAGAACCGATGTTACCTAAGTTCCAAAATGTTCCAATTTTGGGATAATAATCCTCCTGAGAATCCAGATTTTTGGAACATGGGCACATCGAAGTATTGGCTGTATTTAAGTGCTGGGAAGCCTCAATTCGGTTTTCTAAGATGGACATAGGTAAAAACTAGGCCTAAGAGCCATCAAAACTCAAATAACATTACCCAGGTTCATGTAATGAACGAAAATGAACAAAATTGAATATTGTCCTAAAAATGCTCAGAACAGTTTAAAATTGGTCGGAAAGTGTTTATATTGGTCCTGCGACCACTCAAACCAAGTTTGGGAATCACTGCATGTCTAGAACCGATGTTACCTATGTTCCAAAATTTTCCAATTTTGGGACAATAATCCTCCTGAGAATCCAGATTTTTGGAACATGGGCACATCGAAGTATTGGCTGTATTTAAGTGCTGGGAAGCCTCAATTCGGTTTTCTAAGATGGATATAGGTAAAAACTAGACCTAAGAGCCATCAAAACTCAAATAACATTACCCAGGTTCATGTAATGAACGAAAATGAACAAAATTGAACATTGTCCTAAAAATGCTCAGAACGGTTTAAAATTGGTCGGAAAGTGTTTATATTGGTCCTGCGACCACTCAAACCAAGTTTGGGAATCACTGCATGTCTAGAACCGATGTTACCTATGTTCCAAAATGTTCCAATTTTGGGACAATAATCCTCCTGAGAATCCAGATTTTTGGAACATGGGCACATCGAAGTATTGGCTGTATTTAAGTGCTGGGAAGCCTCAATTCGGTTTTCTAAGATGGATATAGGTAAAAACTAGGCCTAAGAGCCATCAAAACTCAAATAACATTACCCAGGTTCATGTAATGAACGAAAATGAACAAAATTGAATATTGTCCTAAAAATGCTCAGAACAGTTTAAAATTGGTCGGAAAGTGTTTATATTGGTCCTGCGACCACTCAAACCAAGTTTGGGAATCACTGCATGTCTAGAACCGATGTTACCTATGTTCCAAAATTTTCCAATTTTGGGACAATAATCCTCCTGAGAATCCAGATTTTTGGAACATGGGCACATCGAAGTATTGGCTGTATTTAAGTGCTGGGAAGCCTCAATTCGGTTTTCTAAGATGGATATAGGTAAAAACTAGACCTAAGAGCCATCAAAACTCAAATAACATTACCCAGGTTCATGTAATGAACGAAAATGAACAAAATTGAACATTGTCCTAAAAATGCTCAGAACGGTTTAAAATTGGTCGGAAAGTGTTTATATTGGTCCTGCGACCACTCAAACCAAGTTTGGGAATCACTGCATGTCTAGAACCGATGTTACCTATGTTCCAAAATGTTCCAATTTTGGGACAATAATCCTCCTGAGAATCCAGATTTTTGGAACATGGGCACATCGAAGTATTGGCTGTATTTAAGTGCTGGGAAGCATTTATATCAAAATATTGGAGGATTATGAAAACAAAAATATTTGCCCAATAAAATAATTTCTGTTTAATTGTACATAATTCTGAATGCAACTTTAAGACCCTGTTGGACGAAAATATTGACTCTTTGCCACCATTTTTTAACCATTCTGAGTGCTTTGAGGAAAATTTTCATGTTCGTTGTTCATTCCATAAACTTGGGTAATATTATTCGACTTTTGATGGCTCCTCTATAAGGCCTAGTTTTTTATATCCATCTTAGAAAACCGAATTGAGGCTTCCCAGCACTTCGATGTCCCCATGTTCCAAAAATCTGGATGCTCAGGAGGATTATTGTGACAACATTGGTAACATCGGGTCTAGACATGATTCCCAAACTTTCCGACCAATTTTAAACCGTTCTGAGCATTTTTAGGACAATATTCATTTTTTGTTCATTTTCGTTCATTCCATGAACCTGGGTAATGTTATTTGAGTTTTGATGGCTCATAGGCTTAGTTTTTACCTATATCCATCTTAGAAAACCGAATTGAGGCTTCCCAGCACTTAAATACAGCCAATACTTCGATGTGCCCATGTTCCAAAAATCTGGATTCTCAGGAGGATTATTGTCCCAAAATTGGAACATTTTGGAACATAGGTCACATCGGTTCTAGACATGCAGTGATTCCCAAACTTGGTTTGAGTGGTCATAGGACCAATATAAACACTTTCCGACCAATTTTAAACCGTTCTGAGCATTTTTAGGACAATATTCATTTTTGTTCATTTTCGTTCATTACATGAACCTGGGTAATGTTATTTGAGTTTTGATGGCTCTTAGGCCTGGTCTTTACCTATATCCATCTTAGAAACCGAATTGAGGCTTCCCAGCACTTAAATACAGCCAATACTTCGATGTGCTCATGTTCCAAAAATCTGGATTCTCAGGAGGATTATTGTCCCAAAATTGGAACATTTTGGAACATAGGTAACATCGGTTCTAGACATGCAGTGATTCCCAAACTTGGTTTGAGTGGTCATAGGACCAATATAAACACTTTCCGACCAATTTTAAACCGTTCTGAGCATTTTTAGGACAATATTCATTTTTGTTCATTTTCGTTCATTCCATGAACCTGGGTAATGTTATTTGAGTTTTGATGGCTCTTAGGCCTAGTTTTTACCTATATCCATCTTAGAAAACCGAATTGAGGCTTCCCAGCACTTAAATACAGCCAATACTTCGATGTGCCCATGTTCCAAAAATCTGGATTCTCAGGAGGATTATTGTCCCAAAATTGGAACATTTTGGAACATAGGTAACATCGGTTCTAGACATGCAGTGATTCCCAAACTTGGTTTGAGTGGTCCCAGGACCAATATAAACACTTTCCGACCAATTTTAAACCGTTCTGAGCATTTTTAGGACAATATTCATTTTTGTTCATTTTCGTTCATTCCATGAACCTGGGTAATGTTATTTGAGTTTTGATGGCTCTTAGGCCTAGTTTTTACCTATTTCCATCATTTACAATTATTTTTGGCACTATTTAGAGCTGATTAGGGCAAATAAATGCATGGGACACTTTTGGGACAATTTTGGGACATGTTCCAAAAATGTTCCAAAAATGTTCCAAAAATCTGGATTCATCAACTCATTTTGTATGCGATTTGCGCGTCGCACGTACGTTACAATATTTATAATTGTAGAATTTACGAGGATAAGATTTTAGAGGTCTCGTTAAACTTGGTTTTTATGATGGTTTGGGACAGGTACTACTTTTTTAACCACCAAAAAGCCAAAACATGTGCCACCTACCCCGGAACACAAATCGCATATAGGGGTGAAATCGCATACAAATCGCATACACAAATCAAGGAAACGTGCTCTCCCTGAATTTTGTAGGGGATTTCGAAGGGGAAAGCCCAGTACCTCAGAAGGTTTATTCTCAGTTTGTCGCTCTTAACACATAAATCATTCTTCATTTCATTTGATACTGTGGATCTAAAATGACAAATTCACGGTACACAATTTTGTTATTTTAGCTGCATATTAATATCTCCAGATTTAATAGATCAATAAACTATTTGTATAACTGTACCTGACAGACACCATCGTACAAATAGACCAGTCCAGCAGGATGGATAACAACTAGAAACTGAGATTGGGGCATGTGACCAAAGTCAGAACACGGAATGAACACTGGAGGACACAGCCCGCCGTTATCCTTCAGCTTCAGACATTGCAATGAACCTGGAAATACAGGAAACTTATCGCTCAACAATTTGTTTAAGTGCTTTAAGGTTAAGACAAATTCTGATTGCAGAACACCAAATTTTTATCACTTCAAATTTGATCTGGCTTGCAATAACTCGGAACATGAACACTGACAAGAAGAGAATTCGACTTACAAGTGCTTGGGTCAAGGATGGCCAGGAATTTGTCCCCAAAGTGAGAGCTGTATTTTGAAACTTTGATGTTCTTGTAGGAACCAATGTTGCTGTCACTATACACCTGAATCAATGTTACTGTCACTATACACCTGAATCAATCGAAAAATCAGACTAATTTAACTGATCATCCATTACTTTCGTTTCCATAAAAAAACCCGAAAAATCACAAAACATTATCATCATGTGTAAACCAAATCGGTACTTGTTGCATTTAGGCCTAGGGCCCTCATTTACCATAGTTACCACAGTTACCATAGTTACCTTAGTAATGTAGAGACCAGTTCCACTGCAAATAGTAGAGTACCTAGTAGTACTGAGTAGAGTGTGGTTAACAGCGCTGTGACCATCTCCTGACGTCACATTAGGTAGAGTGTGGAGAAAGGAGGACGCGTTGGTGCTCGGGGTCCTGGAGACAGAGAGTGGGTTGTTAGACAAATTAGAGCAGGTTCGGTAAAATTATTGGAATTTAACGGAATATTTACAGTTAACATATAATTTCAGCTGAGAACTGGTTTAAAGAAGTATAGCGGTAGATTTTAATTATAATAACCAGCAAGTAACAGTACTTATGCTTCATCTAAATGGACAAATATATTAATCTAAACGAATTTTGTTGTTGATTAAACACCCGACTCTCAATCTGCTATACTTTATAATAAATCCTCATCACATCTTCTCCTGTAGTTGAGTAACAATACCCGATCGTTAAAATTATCTAAATCAGTTAATCAACTCACCGTTCTCTGTGAACCTGTTGTTTTACTTGAGAGTTACTGATAATCCGACTTGTGTTGGAACGGGCAGAGTTTGGAGTAAATATCGCAACTCCTGAGATCAGTCAAGCTTAGATTTTGTGAATATTTCAGTCTTTGTTAAGACTACAATCTCAATACGCAATGATGTGATAAAAAGGGAATGTGTCATGCGATCTGTAATCTGTTGTTGAAGTCTTTACGTACCAATTTTTGATTTAAGTCCCTCGATATCGTCAATAGGAGTAAAGTTAGATGAGTGCATTGTCACAGGACTTTTCTCTATCTTGTTAAGCTTCCATATAATAAGTGATGAATTTTGGCTTGTAACTATTAGTTTGGTTTCATCTGAAATAGTGCTACGGTAAAACAAATATCTAGCTAATTTTCAAATCGTTACAATTAATTAATTTCAAATTTAGGTTTTATCGCTATTGCCTTCAATAGATATTATTGTAATTCTACAATCTAACATACCCACATCCAAAAAACGCAAGTCTACAAGTATAGTTTGGAAGAAATTGTTGTTCAAAGATGAAATTTGGTGCGAACTGCAGACCTAACCTTTCTAAGAAAAGTTTTAATGGACACTAAAAAAGTAGTAAAATCTGGAAGAAATTTTAAAGTTACTGTATGTGGGCTAACCAGAAGCCAGCACAGACAAGATGTTGTAAGAATTGTCTAGAACACTCTCTCTTCCAAAGCTGTCTCTAGAGCTGGAACTGTCCATTTGAATGTAACTGTATTCGTCCAGTGGGTCTAGTAGCGATACCGTTGAGGAATGAGTGGAGTCTCCCCTCTTACATGGCTTTTTCTACAGGGGAGTTAACAGAGTGTTAAAACTTTATTTAAAGAGCGGTGAAACTTTACTAAAGAATTTCTTAGACTCTACTTAAAGTGGGCTCATAATATCAACTTTAAAAGTCAAGGAGTATATTAATTTATTTATTAATTAATTATTGATCTGCATAAATCACGATCACTAGCATATTAAGTAACACAAGCTTTTTTAAACTTTAATAACTAAAACTTCAACTGACTTACGTGTATGAGGAGACCGGGATTAAGTGACCACACGTGAGCACCGTGGAATGGGAGAGCTCTGGAAATATCCTGGCCGTGAAAGGAGAAGAAATGAACATTGACATCCGTAACAACCACTATGTAGTCCTCAGATTCGTCACGCTCGTTTGACATGCTGGCTAACATGGCTTGGTTGATGGGCTGATCCACTGTCAGACACTTCAAAAGCATCTAAATGAGATGGAGATATGTCTGTTATACTGTCTTTTAATATACAGCTTGCGTTGTTAGCGTCAACATTTTATTTTCCTGGATTAGTAATCAATATAATGAGAGCAGTTATAAAAAAAGTTCCAATCTAAGTGATACCAGCAACAAATGTACCGATTTAATTATAACTAACCTTCTGTTTGACGGTTCCTCGAGAACATGCAAGAATACATCCCTGCCAATATAACTCATACTCAATCCCATGCCTGAATATCAAAGTGATTAGATAGTTTCAGTATTTTTGGAATAATACTTAAGATTCATTAAGATGAGGTAACAAGATATTAATGATACTAAATATCAGTGATTAAATGGAGATATCGAAAAAGAAACTTTACTTTTGAAACAAATACCTGTTGCAAATATTCCATTGAGGTAAGGCTTGACTAAAATCAGCTATCAAGGGATGGTAACTCAAAAAGTCTTTTCCAAATAGGTGTAGTGATTTTCCTTGGACAATCACAGCTTCTGCTTCACTTTCCATTGTCCATTAACAACCCTGTTTATTATGTTGGGATTAGAAATATAATCAGCAACCACACTACATATACAAAGAGAGTTCAATAAAACAAAAAATTTGAAATTTTGAAGACTGTTAATATTCCGCTGGAGCAGCCAATGGTCATCTTGAGACATGATTCTACGCCATATTATACTAAGATTTTAGTTCTGTGAAATATTGGATACTGTTATTATATTCTTGAAAAGTGGATGTTAAGATGAAGATACCCTCAAGTCTGAAGCAAAATATCCAACTAAAGAACACACTGAAGTTTGGAGTGAGTTACTGGCTAGCCAAAGATATAGATGGGAAAGATATCCTTCAAAGAAGTATTCAGACTAAATTGAAGATAGAAATTATACAGCAAGGAAGCCTCACTGTATAATTTCAGCTTAAAAAACCAAAATTTCTCTGAATTTGATCTAGGTAGGCTCATTATTATTATTAAATCTTAGATAGCTAAGAATTTAATTAATTATTAACAGGCCCCTTAACGTGGGCAGTAACATGTCCCTTTATAAATTATATAAACAAATTCAGGTCTATTTTTCCGATTTTGCTAACTGTTTCTTTAGATCTGTTTCGGTCTTTTGTGGGAGTTCCCACATCTGCTGGTTGAGAATGCTCAACATAATATACATGATGCTTGACTGCTTTATTGACCAGGGCAGGTCCCGGGGGCAGACATCCCAACACCAGTGCGTTGGGACATAGTGTTGGTCTGTTTCAGGATGTGTTAGATCCCAGAGAAGCCGCCATCTCCTCTACTGCTTTAGCTCAGCAGGTAGGCTCAACCATTGGGGTGCCTCAAACACAAAGGCACTGTCATGTCTCAATTCCTAGAGACTTGAGAGGAGCATCAAAGAGGGGTAACAAGTGCACATTAGTAGAGGTTGAACCATTTACTAAGCTACAATATCAATGTTTAAGTTAAATTTAGACACAATTTTGTTGTTTTTGGGGCAGAAAATCAAGTGAATCATACATAGTAAATAAATGTATAATGTGATATTCACATCCAACTACAATGTCAGTAATAGTTAACTTAACAAATCAATCAAAATGCTTTGATCTTTCCTCAACTTGTATCACTAGATAATTTATAAGAGTTCTTGAAAGAGTATTCTTTCCTTGTGATTCTGATATTTAGGTATTAATTATAGATTTAGGTTGTAGCAATCAGGGGGGAGGGGGGAGCCAACAATTGGCGCTTTTTTCGGCGGTGGGCGCTTTTTTCGGCGGGAGCGCCGAAAGGCAACGTTACGCCACTGGCTACAAGGATACAAGGATACAAGGATACAAAAGTGATAATTATTTTATTGAGTTCACAATAGTTATAATTCTGAAATAATTTAAGTTACACACTTCTAATCATTTACAAATGTGTAGGGATAAAATAGAAATGTTATAATATAATGCTATTTTCTTTAAGAAAATCAAATTTGTATGGTTCATGAGTTTATTTTGAGTTCCTAGAGCATTATGCACTTGCCAGTATTTGAGTGGAAATCTGGGCTCTTATAATAGGCTGTATATTGTTCGTTCACAGAGAGAATTGAATGGATTGCTCTTGCTGTGGCAGTAAATTTGGTAGGATCTAGATTTTTGTTGGAGAGCAGACCGGCTAGGTCAGTGATGTTTTGGGGATAAAAGTTGAATTTTTCCCTAACTGAGGAGTAAAGCAAACAGTCAATTAATACATGGCTTTCGTCCTCGATAGGTTTGAGCCCTTTACTGAAAAAGCAGTAAGTGCACCAACGTTCTTCTCTTGGTACAAGAGGGGTTTCGTATCTGCCCCTTTCAACGTAGAGGTTGTGGCAGCTGATACGAAACCTTGTCAAGCTTTTTCGAAAATCAGGTACTTCGATTATTCGTAGGTATGCCTCTGGTTCAAAATCATGTTTAATTAAGTTATAGAATTCTAGTTTTGGTGAGGAGGCCTTGGCAGATTTCCAGGTATTCACGAATTCTTCCCTCATATTATGACTGATTTGGGTGGAGAGCTTAGATTTTGATGAAGATGAGTGGGGGAAGTTGTATTTGGTGAGAAGCTTTGAGATGTTGGTATACCAAGGAAGGCCCAGCTCAGCATGATCTGCTCGTGAAATGCAGCACAAAGTAGTTCATTTTCGGTGCTTTCAAGGCGACTATAGTAATCTATTGCAAGTTTGCAGGCTTCAAAGAATAGGGGGTGGCGCCCACTTTCGCCCCAGCAACCTATATTTGATGCTTTTGAATGGACGGACAAAGACCACTTGATAAATTTTAGGTGGAATTTCTCATAGTGGTCCTGTGCAATGTACTTCAGGGTATGCTGGGGGCTGGCTTTGTCATCTATTTTTGAAAGGTATCTCATTGTTTTAGAGTGGGGGCATAAGACTTGACAGCCATAAAGCAGGATTGGTTTGATTAAGGAATCAAATAGAATATTAAGGGCACGGTGAGAGAGGGCATCTTTAACTATATTGCCTTTAAGGCCATATAGAGCACGGAGAGCTTTGGCCCTCAGCTCAGTATTTGCTGCCGTAAAGGATCCATTTCTGTGGAATATTATGCCAAGATAGCAGTACTTTTCGGTGTGCTGGATGGGCTGACCTCCCAATGTAAATGTTTCATGGGACTGCTTCTTTTTGGGAGGGCTGAATATGACAATCTTAGTTTTCTTTATATTTACTTCAAGGCCCATGGAGTTACAGAAGTCAGATAGAATGTTGATATTGACTTGCAAGGCCTTGGGACTTAGAGCAAGAAGGACAAGATCGTCAGCCCAGAGCAGATGTGATATTAGAACGTCAGCAAGAACTGGATAATCACCAACAGATTTCAGAAGAGATGACAAGTTATTAATATAGATTTTAAAAAAGTCTGGTGATAGGGGGTGTCCTTGCTCCGTTCCTTTGCCAATATCAATTTTAGGGGACAAGAGTTTGGAGATTTTTATATGAGCAATTGAGTTTTTGTACATATCACTTAAGCAGTTAAAGAAGTTACCGGTAATTCCAAGGCATGTTATTTTGTGCAGAAGAAGGTCCCTACATACAGTGTCAAAGGCCTTTCTTAGATCAACAAAGCATGCATAGAGACGAGCTTTTTTAACTTTAGTGTATTTATCAATGACTGTCTTAAGGGTGAAAACGTGATCATTAGTTTGAGCACCCTTCGAGAAACCGAGCTGTTCTTTTGGATCAGGACAGTAGAGCTTTTTGAAGTATAACAGACGTTCAAGTAAAATGCTAGAGAACAGCTTACCCATACAACTGCCAACTGCTATTGCTCTGTAATTGTCTGGGCTGAAGGGGTTGCCTGATTTGTAGATAGGAGTGATAATACTGGTATGCCATGGATAGTAACCTGAGACCAGAGAGTGGTTGAACGTTTTGAGGATGACTTGGAGACAAAGCGGAGTTAGGCTCTGAAGCATTTCGTTTGAGACCAAGTCATTTGAGCAACTTTTACCCTTTTTGAGCTTTTTGATTGCAGAAGTTAGTTCGGGTTCAGATATGAGCTTGTTTAGGATATCCAGATCTGGTGGTTCAGGGTAATGATTGTGATTGTGGTGAGTGGGATCGGGCTCCTGGTCTGGTTTCTTATAGAGGGATGCAAAGAAATCATGAAAGCTAGCTAGATCGAATTTGTCTAGTAGGGGGCTAGTGTCATGTTCTTGTTTAAGCCTTTTAAATTTTTTCCAGTCAAGAATATGACCCTCTTCAATAGCTTCATTTAACTTCCTAAGAAAAGATAATTTCTTACTGTTAACAAGATTACTGTGCTTATTGCGCTGCTTGTAATATTCACGTCTGAGAATATCGTTGCAGTGCTTACTACCTAGCCGGTTTGCTAGCCTATTCAGGTTTCGCCTCGAGGAGTTGATTTGTGGGTCAAACCATTTCTTGTGGGCGGAAGTTTTAGGAGGTTTTTTCACTTTTAACGCTATATCAGCAGCACTGTGGAGACAGTTAGTAATTGCATCGTTCAGTTCATGATTGCCCTCCAAGGTGCTGCTAAATTCGTTTGCTGCAATGTTTTCCAGGCTACTAACAATTTCGGGCGAGTTAAGGGCTGTTTTAAATAGTGAGTGAGAGGTGTTGCTGTCCCACTTATAGCCACAAGGAAAATTAGAAAAGTCTGGGAGCTGGAAGTTGGCAACAAATGGTTCAAATGTGGTAAGTTTCAAGACTAATGGACAATGGTCAGAGTATGATGTAAACTCCTTCACTTGGAGAGAGTTTACATGATCCCTTGCCCATGAGGTGATTACGAAATAGTCAACCACACTGCTCCCATTGTATTTGTGACAGGTCATTTTTCCAGTGGTGTCCCCGAGGGTACGGCCATTAAGAATTTTGAGTTGGTTATTAATAACCATGTCAAGAAAATGTTGGCAGTGGGGTTCAGATATAGTCAGGTCAGAGTTGTTTCTGGGTTCTTCGATGTCATGTTCAAGTCCAATGTCATTGTAAATGTCATGCATGGCAGGTGCATTACAAGAGAGGATATAGTCTGGGAGTTTTCCAGTTCTTGCATTTGCATCGCCACACATGATAACCTCTCCCTTTTGACGTAGTCTGATACAGATGGAGTCAAGAGCGGAGAAAGTATTAGCAGTATAGTCTGGATTTTTTTTGACATAGGACGAATATGCAGGGCTAATATAGTAACATACTAAAAATAGGTCAAAATCAAGCTTAAAAAAGTTTTTGTCAAGTTTGACAACAATAATATCGTCAGATTCGCTACAAGGCACACAAGAAACACCTTTTCTTAAATCATTTTCAGCAAGAATGCAGACCCCTCCTGAGCGAGAATTTTTGCGGTTGCTATTAAAAGAAAGGTATCCTTCAATCTTAACTTGTTTCTTTGTTTCTTGGAGACACAGAATGTTAGCTTGATTGAGGATTGAAAGAAATTCTTTATTTTCAAATTTGTTAGACCCATCTCCTGTGCTGTCCTGAATGTTCCAGGACATTACAGCGAGTTAATCTCGTGAGGCTTGTTTTTTATTGAATTTCAT